ATGTGTGTGTGTGTGTGTGTGTGTGTGTGTGTGTATGTTTGTATATATATTTATGTATACTTTTTACATTTTCAATGACGTGCATTAATTGGTCGAAATATTTTCGGAGTATCATGCAGCCCTACTTTTTTTTTCTTTCTTTCTTTTTTTATTAGGAGCATATTGAACAAAAAATAGACATCAGTGAGATGACCTTTGACTGTGCATGAGTCTGAGGGTCTGCTTCATGTCTCGTTGTCTTCGGCAGCCGAGAGGCAACGGGAGAGAAGAGTGCAGTCAGTGGTGTTAGTCTGCGACATATAAAATGGACTTAACGCTTAAGACTTTAATCACTCCAACACACCTAATGCACATATCACGGCGGACACATGAGGAATTAAATACAACTGGTGACTGAAATGTAACACATTTAACACATAAGATATTGAACGCTTTCAGAAAACATCTAACACATGCTACACTTTATCTAACAGCAGCACACATCAACCATTTAGTGATATTAATCGATTAAAGGCACTTAAGAAACTAAACATCAAAAACATATAACATTTCCAACAATTTTTGACTTTCGTTCTTTGTCGCGAGCTTAAAAAACATTTAAGGCGTGAAATTCATAAAATTTCTTCAAATTTAACACGAGTCCAAGTCGACTATTTTCTGGTATATTTTTTATTTTTCATTTTTAGAGGATTCCAAAGGGTCATGGAACACTTTTCTACGACTCATATCGAGTAGTTTTTCATTCACCAAACCTATCCACCTCCCTGTGAACAACCACACTCACGTTTATGTATACATAAAAAATACACACACACACGCACACACACCCCAACCTTCACGTCCAGCAGGCACGGGCCGCCGCTGGGGCCCCGGCTGGGGCATTTCCCCAGCGGAGCCAGCCACCAGCTGCGACCTTCGTGATGAATTTTCAACTGACGAAGAAATCGGCCCGATTGCGGATATTTTCGATATCTTTAAGAATTTATGGAAATGGGAGTATCTGTTTTTATCATTGTTTTTTCACTATAGTACTGATGTATGCAGCATATATTTTACGTAATACTTATGAGAAGATGTCGCAATCAGACGAACAAATAATCCCATCAAAAATAAATGAATAAAGGAGAATAGAATAAAGATATTCCAATATTCAAAATGAAAATTATCCTTATATTCCCAGACTGATAGGAAATAAAATTAAGTATAAGATTAAATATATACAAAAACATGACTTGTGAAGACGAGGAGGATGCCAGCCTCGGATTCGGTCAAGCGAATCGGACACTCCCGCTTCGAAACATGTTCCTTCTGCCAGAAGACTTCGGGACTGAAAAGGTTTTTGTTTTGTTTTCTCTTAATCTCTCTTTCTTACTTTTAACATTCTCTTTTTACCTATTTTATTATTCTCTTTTTTTTCCTTTTAGGTTTTTGTATTGAGATGGGATTCCTTATCATCATTATTCGCTTTCTTTCTACATGCATTCTCTTTCTGGGGCCGGATTTACCAACGTCTTACGATATCGTCAATGGTCTGTTTATATCGTAAAACAAGTTACTCTCTCGTATTCGCAACGAGCGTATTTTCAAAACTCCCGAGGTCGTAAACACATCTCCGTACGAGAGACATTTACGGGAGCCCGAAACCTCTCGTGACGCTTATCGTAGCGACCCTCCTCAGCTCATATCAGCTTCATAAATACCTTCAGGAGTATGTAAATGTCACTTTGCCATGTGGAAATCAATTAATGTGCAAAAGCAACCTACTGAGGATGCATAGTAACGGGAAAAAACAATATGACTAATGTAAATAAGGATTGGCCTTTGCCAGTGCATAGAGGTGCGGAAACACTTGATGTAAATCACTCAGCAAGTTTGATTTATCATGAATTAAAGGATCTCTAACCCATCTTCAAGTACGAAATCTGAATGAAAATGCATAATTTCATCATTATGACTATTTTCCTTTATAGCAACAAAACATAATAAGTATTTGATAACAAATGTTACCAATATACAAACACACCTTTTAATAGCCTAATGTAAAATTACATTTAGCATTGGATCCATTTCTTTATGAATAATGATTAAGATGAATGTTTTACTGGATTGTAACAATTTTTTATCATCTATCATCTAAAATATAACGAAATGCTTGATTTTTTTTAAGAACATAGATATAATATATATATGTGTGATCTCTTTCCTCTACAATATGTGTTTATTAATATACTATATACATAATATGACATATACATACAATTCAGTATCTATGTATTGTATATGTACTGCCATATCTTTTGGTTTTTGTTAATATATATATACCACACACACCACACACACCACACACACACACACACACACCACACACACCACACACTATATATATATATAATATATATATATATATATATATATATATACTATATATAATGCATTATGTATTGTGTATTATATAAATATATATGCAATATAGATTAATAGATATATATATGTATATGTGAATGTTTGTATGTATAATGTATATACATACATATACATACAAATATATGTCTATGAATTACTACTCATACCTACCTAATATATATATATATACCGTATATATATATATATATGCCTACTTATATATACTATATATCTCTATTATACCTCTTATCTTATACTATCTATTACTCTCATCCTCTATTACATTATTACTGCATATATTCGTTACATAATATACTATCCTCATACTGTCAATTGTTTCGTATTGTCCTTCACTATATCGTGCTCTCTCTCTTATTCTTATACCATACATACATCTCTCTCTCTCCTACACCGTCACGTTTTTACTGTCTCTACTCTCTCTCTCCTACTTCCTATCTACTTCTACTATCTCTTACATCTCCTATCTACTATCTCTTACTCTCTACTCATTCTCATCTATTTACCCTTCTCTATCTCTCTATTCTCTATACTTCATTATCTACTACTACCTCTCTCTAGAGAGTAGAACTAGATGCACGACTCTGCACAGTACGTCCCTCTCTCTGAGTCGACTTGCATCTCGATCTTCTCTC